TAAATTATATCGCTAGAAATAGAAAATCACACTTTACAATCGCATTTAATTTTCGTAAAATCATAATTAACTTTATATATTTTAGAAATATCGATAACAAACATCAACAAACAAATACAACTACAATTTAATCGCATATATCAATTTACAAAACATAAAGAATTAAGATATTAATAAGTATTATTAAGCTGTAAATCATAAACATTTAAAACGATTAAGTTTCCCCTCAACAAAGTTTACAAACATCTTGAACAAGAAAAATTTGATTATAATATCAAAATAAAGTTCGTATTAACTTATTTATTAATAAAGGGACTTGACTTTGTTGTCAGAAATAAAAATAACTTTATTTTTAAATATTTAAATACCAATTATATTAAAAAAATCACTCAAAATTAGTATTATTGAAACCAATAATCGAATTGCTGAATAGCCATTGTTTTATATTTATTAATTTATTATATTATATAGCAATTATTCTTACTTTTTAGAATCGAACTGGATAAAGGTATGAATTTTTTAAGCAAAAACTGATGTCGACGTCAGTTAGTTTTTAGCTCAAACGGACCAATGAAATTTTGTCAATTCCTTTGCGATTATTAAAAATCCACCAATCAGATGAATTGCTCATAATAATTGTTAAAGTATATTTTTGCAACAAAATATGGAAACTTAATAATCGTAAAATTCGAAAGCTAAATACCGTATTCTCTCCTATTCTATTGCCAGATCGAACCGCCACACATTTAAAACAGTAATTGCTTCGCTTTAATTTAGAGGTTCCATTACGAAAATTAAATGCATTTGTTTAGGAACTTTTAATCACCTATGTAAACAAAAAAGACTGAATACAAAGGAGAGAATCTTGCAAAATTAAAGTGATTAAAAGAATAGTCGATACCTATAGTTTTTATCTCTAGTATTATTTTTCTTTTTTACATAGGCGATTTAGTTTATTAAATACGTATTGGTTAATAAATATGTAACTTTTAAATTATCAAATAAATAAATAATAACTTTAATTCCTACATTTAATTAAAAATTTTATGTTCAATGAAGAGTATTTCTTAATTAATTTGTAATTTATTTATAAATTTGTTTTGTCTAACAATCTGAAAGTTTGATTCAAAACAATCTCATCAGGTTCAGACTTTAATAATAATTGAAAAAAAAATTTAATTAATGCATTGAGTATAATATGGGAGGGCGTCAGTGAAAAAGGGAGAAATCTTTAATTTTAGTTCCTAAGCTAATTTTAAGGTGATTGATCAGTCAATATCAATAAAAAAAATTTTATCAAAAATTAGATTTCCCCTTTTCTATTGACCGCCCGGTCAAATCTTTATTTATTAAATGGCAAATATCGAAACCATGTTCCAATTTTGACTTCGACAAATTTCTTATCGACTTTCTAGTTTTGACGGTCAAATTTGCCTCTTATGTAACAGAAAGAACTTAGTTATGCCGTTCTTATATCAGATATGTAATTGTCCGAAGCGTAAGCAATATCATGCATCCGCACGCGTGTATAGCCAATGAAATTTTTGGATCAGGTGTAACGTGATTTTAGTAAAATTCTTTAAAACTTATATGTATATTTTCATAAAAATAAAATGATAAATAAATAATTATTTGCGCGTGTAGATTTTTCTTGTAATATAAATATAATGCGACATGCAATATCTAATGTTCAATTATTACTAATTTTTGGCGATATATTTATATTTTACAATAAAGCAGAACACATTTGTGTGAAAAAAATTTATTATTCGAATATTGTGGAAATAAATCGAAAATTTTGCAACGTAAACTATATAGTACATACGATGCATTTTATTTATTTTATTTTTATTAACGATACATTTATTTTTAAGTGTTACATTTTTTATTGATATATTTTATTTTTTTTTTTTTGTTAGTTTATATGATCATGTGATTTATGACACTTCGGACGCATCAACGGTTCCCGTTTCCTAGTATAAAGCAATATGTTGTCATAAATGTCCGGATGCTTTTGCCGGCGTATTTAAATCATATAATCCGTGATTTTGATAGCAAAGCTTCCAAATAGTCATTTCTAAGGTTGCGAAGCAAAACCTTTTGTTTCGACGGTACCATTGAAACTATAATAATCGAAACTATTTATTAAAAATCCTGCCAAAAGACGTATTCCACCATTTGCTTTGCTAAATGCAACTATAATCATTTCACTTATTGTGACACATGCCTGGATCTGACATCCACGCCTTTCTCACACGTTTCTGGGTAAGTCATCTTTCACGTTCGTCATTTGTCAGTCATTTTTTTTTTTTTGCTTTTTACTTTCACTATCCTTTCTAAGATGCATTTCTCTCATTTTTCTACTTTCTTGTCCCCTTTTTTGTATTTTAGTTTGCGTGCGTATTTAATATGTGATTTACGTTCATCCATTTTTGTGTGTTAACCTTAATAATTTAATATTTGTATAAAAATTTTGTATAAAACATCATTAATAAAATTTACTGAACACTTTCAGATAATATTCATTATAAATCAACTGACACACTCCGGTAATATTCATAAAATTTACTGTATTTATCTTGAGTACTTTCGGATAGTTTCTACAAGTATCATTCCGAAAAATGATCACTTTTCGGAACAAAAACAAAATAATAAAATCGGATAACAGAAACCAGTTAAAAATCGGAATACAATCATAAAAAATTTTTTATAGGTTATTTTGTCGAGGATTATCTGTAAATTAACGATAATTTTATAATTTTAGGAAATTAGGTTCTGGGAATTTTTTGTTGCATTTCTTTAAAATTTATTTTATTTATATTATTTCTTAGGATTTGATTTCTTCAATAATAATCCACAAATTCTATAGTAAGTAGAGATTTATTCATAAAAAAATGGACTCATGAAATAACCAAAAAGATTTTTGAGAAGTTTATGTCGTGGCATAGTATGACGTAATTGAAAAAAAATACCGACTACTAATTAGAAAGGATTCAAATTGTCACGTGCAGCTACCCAAATTTTGGTCACGGTAAATATCAGAACGATTTCTTTTTCGAATTGCCGAATTCAAGAGTTTTGACCAAGAAAAAAATTTGGATAAATTAAAACTTACAATTTATTCAATTTGTTTGATTTGAGCATAATTGGACAGTAAATAAATTCATCTTACCCCATCATGGATTATCAATTGTATAACCATTGCAATATCACATTTAGCCCTTCGCCTAAATCATAACCAATAATTTTAACGTAGTATTAATGATCTACATAATCAACCAGAAGACCAATCGGGGCTTTATTTGTGTGTTTGTTGTGGAATAAGATAACCAATTCTTGCCACATGCGAATAAGCAATATCTGATCCAAAGACCACTCGGACTATTTTATGTATTTGTGTGGAATTAAGCAATAATAAGTCTTGTTACATTGCCAATCGGGCTATTTATGTATTTGTGTGGAATAAGCAATATTAAGTCTTGTTACATTCCACGCGAACAACAAAATGCTAAATCTCGTGCTATTTTGTAATAAATCTTTAAACTGAATTAATATTGCAGAAAACATAATGACGTTTAATGCGTTACTTAAAATTATAAGTTTAGATTGGTGAACCTTTTATAGACGTTTTGCAGTGTTGCACAAAAATTGACGACTTTATTTATTATTTGCCATTTCACTGAAAAAAATATTAAATATATAAAAAACGTCATGCAATATAACAGATAATGGTAATTACAATTGACTCATAAATAGTAAATTTATTTAAAAAGCACCAGATTGTATAATTATTGGCTTATATGATAATCATTTTTTCTGCATGATTTTCGAAATAAGTGGAATACTTTATTGTGAATTCATCACAACTTAATGAAAAA